TGAGAATAAGCTATTACAAGCTATTAAATTAGATAAGCAAATAAAATATCTGCAAGAAGTAAAATCAGATGATGATAATATATTTGGTTTAGAAGTTCGGAATGGATTTAGGAGACACAATCTGAAGTTTAAGGCATTCACAGACTATGTGGAGAAAGATGCTCTAGATGGTTACTTACAGATATTTTTGTTGGACTATCATGGTTTGCCCAAGTAGGCACCTATTGGAATAGACGGGGCAGTTAGGTGAAAACAGTGAAGAAGTTAAAAAAGCCCAGGGATATCTTGATAGATTTCTTTCTTTGAGTGAAAAAGAAAAATTATTTAAGAATATTTGGGAAAATATTTAAATATACTAGGAAAACACAAGGTTAGCTTTTAGTGATCTTCATCTTGGTACCTTGTCTAGAAGTCATAGTTTAACATGTTTGACTGAGCTGCTAAATGGGGCACCCCATTTAGGTTTAACTTTTCTAAAATAAGAAGTGGATTATACAGAAAGTTCATAAATTACTGAAGGTGTTGGAGTAATCAAAGACAGAAAAAGAAGAAGAAGAAACAGGCTTTGATAATATCTTGTAAACTTTTGATTTTTGACTATAGGTTGGAGTGGGTCATTTAAAGGTTCTCTTGGTAAATGTGAATGGGTTTAATTACCCCAACAAGAGAAGGAAGTATTCCACGCTTAAGAAAGAGTGGATAGGTGTTTTATTCCTACAGGAAGCCCAACCTAAGAAAGCCCACAAACACTATCTGAAGCATATGAAGTTGCAGGATGTATTTGCAGCTGCTGATCTCACTAAAGAGGGGGGTGCAATTATATTAAGAGATTTTTTTAAAACTGTGCTGTGTGTATGTTGAAAAACAAAGTAGGACGGTATGTGATACTGAATTGTTTTCATGAACCATATACTGAACAAGTAAAATTTTATAAACCTTGTGAAAGGACATATTTTTATGATACAAGGTTTTCATGGAGTGATAAAAGCCACAGATGCATTAACAGGTAAGAACTTTAGCCAAATCTGTCCTGAAAATTTCTTTTAAATCCTACAGGTCAAGATCATGCTTTTTATTTAGTA